TTTCGATAAATTTGTTTGAGTGTAAATCTCTTAATGACAAGTACTGAAATTTCATTTATATTCCCTAAACTTATTTACTATATTAGCTTCATTTCTCTTTTATTGCAAATATTAATTTATCCTGCATCAGTTGGACAAATTTTTCCACTTCACAAAATTAAAAATTCATTAATTACTTTATTAATTTTGTGTTTAAATTAAATATGCTTAATTAAAGCCAAAGTTGAATTCACATTACACTTATTCAAAACATGCTTTATCTTATATCACTTTATTTTAGTTGAAATTAATTTAAATTAATCAATCTTAGTTATAATTAAAGTCAAATTATGTCATGATCATAGTAAGATGTAATTGACTTACTTTTGATAAATTGCACAGAATTATTTTTATTTCTAAATATCACAGAGAATTTAGTTTAAATTATTATATGCTTCAGAAAGTTTCTTTCAAAAGCAAAATTTTTGCCTCAAAAAAATTAAATCACTAAAAGGTTTTTATTCTGCTTTACCTCGTTTGATTTGTGCAATAAAAAATATAATCAATTTTTATATAATGAAAAACTTAAAGCAACTTTTAATTTCAATAAAACTTCAAAAAATATTTATGGAAAATCTATGCGTTCTTTTTAGAGTGCTGCCAAGAATAACTCGTTTCCACATTTTATATTCATAAAACATAGAAAAGTTGAGGATTTTAAATTTTTCCAAAGAAGAAATATAAAATTATTATAATTTTCACAATTGATTATAGAGCACTTAAACGTGATTCTTTGTTACTTATTATTTGTTGTAAGAAGGTGTTTTAATGTTGAATTTTACCTGCTACGAATGGTAGAAACAAGTTGAAGTTGACGATTGACCCTGATCACATTGACCCATTCCATAACTAGATCAGCACTTTCCTTATTCAGCTTTCTTATATAATATTTTTATAATGAAAAATAAAACTTGTTCTTTTTTCTGTACATTAATAATTGATAATAATTTTAATAGTTAATTGTATATGCATTAATAATGCATAAATACTTGTAGCGTGTTGAGTACACTTGTTGAGTACACAGTAGCTTCTTGAGTACAGAATTTAACGCTCGAAACGTTGAAATAATCGAGTTATCTCGGTTAAATTTTAAAATTGTGCACAGAATTACTTAGTAGTCAATTCCTTCTTTTGCATCAGACAGATATCTTCCTAACTTTTAGATCTTAACCTTTCAACCACAAATTTAATAACTGATTAATTAAAAGTTAAACTTTTAACAGTTTGTGAATAAATTTTCAAGCATTGTTTATGGATTTAATAATTTTTTCGTCTTTTCATAACTTTTTGCAAAAAATTTTCATTATTCATTTCTGCTTTTTATCCACTTTTCACATTTTTAATAAAAAATTTGTCTAAAGAACTTTTTGATTCGCATAGAATCTAATACTTTATTGATTACTGATAGATGTACTGGGATGAATTTAATTCAAATTGGAAGAAGTATTATCAGTAAGTCTAACAGTTAAAACAAATGCAAAATTTCCCTACCAAAATTAACATTTTATTTTTGATCCGGTTATTTATATAATAAACCGATCAAAAATACTTTCTATACATTTGGGAAACTTTTAAATGTGAGGAAAATAACTGCAAATATTATTATAACTTTTAAAATTATACATCTCATAATTGTATTTTTTGTAAATATTGAATAGTTTCTATCTATTAATATTATTTCGCACAAAAGGTTATTACTATTATCGTTTGAAATATTAATTGCCATTTCATGCCTTCAAAAAAGCGAGTTCAATAAATGCCATATTTTTAATTTTGTGTAGTTTAAAATATTTCTGATTGAAAAAGTTGCAACTTGAAATCTACTCAGTTCTCAACACGTACGCATAAATATGTATGTTATTACTTTCCTACAGTTTTATCACGTATTTTCGCTATGATTGCTGCGTGCGCATTGTCTATGAGATAAAACATTTTATTGATTGTTATTACAAAAGAGTAATAAATAACAAGATAATATGCCTTATGAATGTGCAGTTATTCTTGATATGACAGTATATTGGGATTTATATTAAACTGTCACAAGTTTAGCACTTTCAGACTTTTTAATCATTTCTTTTCTTGACATATTTTATGATTAAAATTTTTAATCATTTTTTAAAAGGTCATTTTAAAAAAATTTAATAATAATAATAATAATAATAATAAACAGTAATAAATAATAGTAATAAATGATAGTAACAAATGATAGTAATAAGTGATAGTAATAAGTGATAGTAATAAACCATGTCAACTTAGTACAATCTCGGTCAAATGAATATATTACCATTACTGTCACTATGACTATCGCTTTTACCATTATTTTCCTCAGTATTACTTGAATGAAAGCTTTGCATGTCTGTAAGATAAAATCTGCTCATTACAGAAATGCGATGCTGTTAAGAAGTGCTCGGATATATTATCTGCCAAATTCGCTTTACATTTTCACAATTGTTTTTTTTGTGAGTTGTTTGCATTATTGCACTAACTTGCATCAATTTTACACTTTTATTAATCGCAAAATCAAAGTTTTTTAGCGTTTGATTATACTTTTGAAGTGAGTTTAACTCAATCAAGTGATATAGCTGTGAAATTGTGATTCTTATAGAGTTTAGTATTTGATGGCAAGACTACACCAATTGATAATGCGCTTGTAGATGCTAAAATTATTAAAGGTAAGAGCTTGCATTCATAGTTTCGCTTTTATTATTAACACTGATTTTTGATCACGTTGTTATCATTGCTATTACTATTATCATTATTACTAGCTGTTATAATTATTATTTGTTATTATTATTATTATTACTATTATTAATATTATTGTATTTTTGCTGCTGATGAGATAGCATTTAATGATTACTAAATATGATGGTGTTATTGATATGATAACAACAAATACATGAAAATTTTTAACCCTTTTCTGAATTTCGAATGAAGAAAGGTTCTTAGCAAGCAACTTTTTGGTTTGTCTTTACTAAAATATATTTGGGTTTTATTTTGCGACCATAATGAAGTTGTAAATATAGAATGCGTGAGAAACAAAAGTGCTGATTTGGTACTGGTGCTGGATGGTTCGGGATCAATTGGTGATGAGGCCTTTCAAATGCTCGTAAGTTAAAAAATTTTTCAAACAAATGTAGCCAGAAAAGTAATAAAATTAATTTTCGAAATTCAAATTAGTGAATTAAGTAATTACTTTTGACAAGTGTCAATTTATATCACACACTTCAATGATAATTTTAAGAAATCAGCTTGTTTTTTTATTGATATGTAAAAATAAAAGTTATCATTATTAGTAATAACTGATTATTAATTTGGTTGATAATGTTTTAGCTTGACTTCGCAGTTCATATAGTCCGTAGGATAAATATAACTGAACATGGTAGCCGAATGGGTATTGTACAGTATGCCGAGAATCCTAAACTCGAGATTGCTCTGAATCAGTTCAGTCATCCAAACCAGGTAATCCATCTAATTACTATATTAAGTATAAAATCATTCACTTTCCACCCGAATGTTTTCTAGTTTTCAATTCTTGTTTAATTTATCAAATTATACTTATTTATTCATGAGAGACTTATTAGAATTTAATTAGTTGTGCCTATTTTTATTTTTTAAGTCTCTCAAAAAATTATCTTATATTTAAACTTTCTTCTGATAAATTCAAATTTAAAATTGTCTATAATTAATTATCTTGTGTTGATAAATTATCGCGAACCACGTAAGTTCACGCAATTTATTCAAAGTTTAAAAATGAAAAATTCTAATTGTTACGAATTATAATTTCAATAGATATTAAATAAGATATTATGTTGATTCCTACGTAAATTATAACTATGTTTATCTGATCTTTGCTGTAACAATTAATATAATAAAATGCGTTTGCGCAAATGCGATTAGTGAATTCAATTTTGCATATTTAGCTTTTGAATATTTATCTAATTTAAAATGGAAATTTCCATTTTGTAACTAATCTTATCAATTATATCCCATAAAATGAAACAGTCTTGTACCTTCGTGACAGAGAATTGAAAAATTTTTATTTGCTACCTCACAAAAGTGATTTACAATCAAACAACTTTGCAAAATATAATTTTTTATAAATTTGTAATTTGAAAAAAGGGCAAGTTTCGCAAGTCAATGCGGGATTGATCGCAAATTGTTAATCCTTTTATGGTACAAATCTAAATTGCTGTCACTCAACGGTAAAATTCTACCAGTAAAGTTTTTGAAAAAGAGTTATTCATAGCAAAATTGAATTGTATTTCTTGTTTAGATGGAGTGGGCTATTCGGAGAATAAAGTACCTCTCAGGTGCTACAAATACTGGAAGTGCACTCGAATTTATTTTACAACAAGGTTTTAAGGTAAATGCAATCTATAAACTAATTTTCTAGTATTTTAAAAGCATTATCCATGGTTCCGTGCGGAAAAATGGAGCAGATACATGAAAATAACAGCGTTACGGTATTGTTACAGTAATTATTTATAGAAGTTCCATTATTTTTTTTGTTGAGTGCAGCATTTGAAGTGGAGGAAACTGTAATTTTTTGGAAGGATATAATTACTTTCTGTAATTTTATTTTAACAAAAGTTTTTGGTTTTCAATAAAGTTTTCTGAATACACATGCTGAAACGATGTATGTAAATTTAGTCCATGGAATGAAAGGATTATGAACTTGTTTTGTGATTTAATCTGCAATGCTTGAATATTAAAGCTTTTTTATTATTCAAAATAAAAACTATTTATATTGTTTCTCTTTTTTAAAATCATCAAAATATTACATTTAAATTGTTGTAAGTACTGTAGTACTGTAATACTAATAAATAATCAAGTAAGCTCTATGTAAAGAAATTAAGGTAATGTAATTTGAAGGGTGCAAGAGGAAAAGATATTCCAAAAGTAGCAATTGTAGTGACCGATGGTCAATCTCAGGACAGTGTTTCAGAAGCTGCGCAACAGCTGAGAGATGCACATGTGATGATGTATGCTGTAGGTGTTACTAATTTGATCAACGTTCACCAATTACATCAGGTGCTGTAATAATTTCTACAGCTATAGCCTAATCTCTAGTATTCACTATAATACATGTTAGTCACGATCCAATAGTTAGTTTTCTTTTTTGTGGTGCAATACTAAAATATTCAAAAAAAGTAACAGTTTTATCAACTTTGAGTAGATCAATATAAATTTCTGTTATCTTCATCTAGCATAATGGTGGTATCAGAATAAGAAAAAGCTTTACTTTTCTTGAAGTGAAAAATAGTTTAAGTAAATATTGCAGATAGCTGGTAATCCAGCAAGGGTATTTACAGTAGAATCCTTCGAGGAATTGAGCAAGAACCTTGCTGATTTGCTTACTTGGGATATGTGTAAAACTGAATTCAGTATGTTCCTTTATATATTTTTACTTCTTGAATATGATTATGAAGAATGATCAATCAGTAATAATAAAAATAAACTCTAATAAAGTTACTATTTTTTAAAATTCATTTTTCGAATTGAAAAATAATTTCAATTCCTTACTTAAATGTAAACGATATACCATTTCTTTAATTTTTCGATAGATTTCCTGTACAGTCTAATGAGTAAGCTTAAAATTAATTATTGTTTTTGTCAGTTGTTAAAATTTTAACATCATATTACTTGAATAAAAAGATTTTTTTAATTTAATTTTTACAGTTGTACTTAATAAAAATATTTATTAATTTGTGAAACAAAAGCGCTATTATAAATGAACATTTGGAATAGGGCCTGGCACACCTGACATTATTTGCGGTTCTGATCGGATTGGAGTTCGAGCATCGACTAAGAATCCCTTCGATGGATACGTTTTCGTGATGGACCATTTTCATAAGAAGGAATGCCGAGCTGGTCCTGAGAAATTTCCTGATTCTCGAAGTATTGGCATCACTGTCCCTTTCACAGAATGTAATGTACACCGATATCGTTCAGTTCGTATTTATCATTTTCAAATTTATTTTTGAGTTCAATAAATAAAATGCTTTCAAAAATTTCGGCTCAAATTCCTTGGGCAATAATATTCATACATACCTAATAACACTTTTCACATTATTATATAAATGTAGCAAGTATTTATAACATTTATGGCTATCATATTATCACTCTTACTAGCATTATCGTGTCAAAACGCTATCAATCAATAATTAAAGAGTAATAATGATAAAATAATACAATAATAATAATAATAATAATGATAAAATGCTGAATTGTTTTTAATTTCAGTTAAATCCACGAGGTATTTTTGTTGAAATGACTGTAGTGTTCATGTTTCATGCACTGTAAGTGATTTATTGAATTATTATTATACTTTCATTGCAGATGACGTTTGACAAGAAAAATCATAAATTTTCAAAGTTTGTAAGAAAACTCCAATTTGTTATGAACAAACTTTAAAAATTTCTCACGATCTTTATGATTTTCCGATCAAAAATCAATCATTTAAAAAAAAAAGTTTTTCAGATTTATGACAAAAGTTGATCAAATGGTAAAAGTTCAGTGTTTCTATATGGAGGCTGATAAAACCGTTTCTGTACCGCTGGAAGTGAGGTGAATTGCATATTAATTACTTTGTAAGCTCACTATATAATCAGAAGCTTGCTATAGATACTGTCTATATCTTTTGTATTATTAAAAAAAATTATGGCAATGCATTATATAAAACATTCATATTTGTGTGCCATAAACATACCAAAATTTAATTCAGAAGCTAACCTTTCTTCATTGCACAAAAGAGGTAATAACTTTAGATAAGTTTATTCTAAAATAAAAAGTAGTCAAATGCAATGACTTTCCATAGTTTGCTTTCCATGAAAACTGTATAAAATTGCTAAAATTTAAACAAAAAGTATAGATCACGAATTGCGAATACTATTAAATTTGAAGAGAATTAAATTTGAAGTCAGAGAATGCAAATAAAATTGAGGATTAAAGAATGTGAAGTAATAGTTTCAAATGTTCTACTGAAACTGGTTAATAATCAAATTAGTTATAGAATTAAGTCAGAATAATATTTATTCATATTATAACATAAGTTTCAGTATGATTACTACACATTTCCGTGAAAAAGCATACGAAATGCCACGATGTGAATATACGTTGAGACGTGGATCACCGAATGGACCAATGGTAGAGTACGTACAATTAGGTGAAAGTATTTACCATCGTTGGGAGTGTCTTGATCAAACAAATTTGTTTGGAATGCTTGTACATTCTTGCTACGTTGATAATGGTTTCGGCGATCGAGTTGACATTTTGGATGATGCTGGGTTTAATTTTGTGCTAATACTGCTATCGACCTCACTACTAACCCTAATTTTTATTATTTATCAAGATTTTTATTGTGATCAAATGCTGGTAATTTAATGATTATTAAATCAAAATCTCTCCATATTGATTGAATTTAACAGGCATTTTGATCTACCTATAATCATTTTCCGGCAATTTAGAACACAAGAACTGATATATATAAGATTAGATCACTATTATAGCGATTGAACTCAAAAATTTTCTTACAAAGATGTAAATTTTTTTGATAATAATTTTTGAGTAATGAGATTTATTTCCTAAAACTGAATAAATATAATAGTTCATATTTATTCATAAAGATATAGTATAAAAACTCTGAGTAAATTATTTTAGATGTGGAATTGATTCAGTACTACTGCCAACACCAGATTATGATACGACCTTACCACTTGCAACAAAATCATATCACGTTTTTAAGTATGCTGATAGACCTGTATTACAGTTTCAGTGCCAGGTATCAAAGATATATATCATCTTTGCTCAGAAAAAAACTTCCTTTGAATTATATTGTACCAGTAATTCTGATTTCTTTTTCAAAATTTGAAAGATTCAGTCAGATCACCACAAATGTATAATTTAATTCATTTTTTACCAAGAAAACATAGAAAAAGTACTCAGTTATTAAATATGGAATGAATTTCAGATTACACTTTGCCTCAAATATGATGCAGGTTGTGTAGGAATCACACCACCAAACTGTCCTGAATTAGCTAGCAATCAGATTAATAATCATAACGTTGAATATGAGCGTAGTCAACACAAACGAAAACACGAGCAGCAGATCCGTTCTATTCGATCCCTTCTCGAGCCTACCACTTTTGATGTTTTCACACCTCGAATACATATTACTCCACAAATACTTCAATGTCAAAATCCAAGTACTCAGACTTCAGTTTCTTATATTTTGGGGTTAGTTGTTATTAGTATCGTTAATATTACTATACTCATTGTTTTAATTGCGATTTATCTAAGACATAGTGCTAATAATGACAAAAAGATAAATGCAAAAAGAAAATTCTTATCGTGACTGAACAATTATGCTAGCTACTCCAAGTAAATACAAATTTAATTAGAATGAAATAGCCAAATAAGATCTTAATCTTCAGCAGTTTCTGAAGATTAACTTCAGAATCGCATATAGCTTACAGAAATACCAAATTTTGAGATTTTAAATTTGAAACTTTTTAAGCTAATAGAACAAAATCAAAAATAAGATGAATAACTGCTTAGTGGTTAAGTATTACCTGGTTAGCACTTGACATCGTGAAAGTATTCGTTGCATTTCATGAGTACATTTGACTTTTAGCTATTGATATTTTTGAGAGTAAGACGGGTGTATTTTTTATTGTATCTACGAGTGTGATCATCTACACTACTATATGTAAATTTATCTGTCTGTAATATATTTGAATTTAGATTAGATGTATTATGAAAGTAATTTTATGTAATTTATAACCATAAGTTAGAAAATTAGCAGTTTACCTTGAATAAGCTTTATCCCGAATTCTAACTTTGATAAGATTAAGCGCTCAATGAATCATTTATGATCAGAAATGTATAGTTCCACTACTTGTACAATAAATAAAATTAATTGTTATAGGAAATCAGCATCATCAGTTAAATCATTGTGTTGTTAGATGAAAACTGATTAATGCATTAATAAATTATTTTAGATGCTAATAGCATCCTATTACAATATCTTACACGTTCTTCACTTATCACGGCTTCTTCATAAAGTGTTGCGAAACGTTTTTTCAAAGAATTTATTAAAGCTAATTGATAAAAATCAATCCAGTCACTGCAGAAATGAGCTTAGAATCAAAAGATGTCATAAAAGACTTTGAATTCGTAAAACTAGATGATGCAAAGAATAGAATGCTTGCTAGCATCGTGATCTAGTAACGTTTCAAATGAAAGCCACGTGAATAATTGCAAATACTTAAAACTAAACTTCAATAAACAGGAATAAATCATACCGGTAACGTGAATTCATTATATGTTTAGTCCCGGATATTTTTTAGAATAAGTAAGTACTCTTATAAAAGAAGTAATAAAAAATAAGAAAGTAGGAAGCAATGAAACAAAGTGAATTTGAACACAAGTAATGTTTGAAATAACAAACTACATCAATTGCGAATGTGAAAGACATCCTTAAAGTCCACAGTAATTTCTGACTAACATGTAAAACATAAAGATAACCGAACTAACTTTCTAGATTTCAACTCAGATTTGTCAGCAATAAATTCCTCATCAATACTGATCTAACAGTAAACTTGACACTATCGCAAATTATCTGCACAAGATTGAATGATCATTGCGCTATCCACAATTACTTTAGTATAGAAACCGTCAATAAACTGAAAACATATGCAAAAACCAAGAGTCAATATTGAATACAAAAAATACGTGATTCACTGCATGCCGTATTTAGGTTTATAAAATATCCAGTTAATGAATGAATTACACCGTTCCCGGCACAAAAATGAATAATTTTAGGAAGATTTAGCTCCTTAACATCAAATACAAGACTTATTGAACCATGGCATTCCGACAATACCCTGTAAGCATTTACTACAATCTTCTACGAAATCACATTCCTTCGTCTTAAATCCATTTTCGCTTCATTGATTTCCTCTCTTAATTCTTCTTGAGCTTCAGCACAATCATTGAATGTTGCCACACCGTAAAGCACGCTACATATAGCATAAATTCCTATTAGAAAAACGGCATAAATAGGGAAATGCAAGATGTAGTCGTAATACATTTTTGTGAAATTATGCGTGTATGGTAGCCAATCATACAGTAACGCTACCCAAATAGCAGCCAACGGTGTAAGATGAAAACAATATGCAACAAACTGTGAAACCATCGAGTTTACTTCTGAAACAGAGACAAAGTATAATTTAGTCTTTCTCAAAACCCGCTCACTTCTAGCTATCGTATGTGATCATATATTATTCACAGTTACTAGATAATCAACTCCATATTTTTGACAGATTAAAAACTTAAACTCAACTTCTTCTGAAAAAACTATCACAAAAAACTTTAGAATTTCTTTTTCATATCAAGAGGAAAAACCATACCTTTCTGGAGCTGATTTTAAATTACACAAAAATTCATTCCACGGTCCTAACTCTACTGCAATCTGCAATGATCAATGACTTGCATAAGTAGAAGTACCAGCTGCAAATACACCGCAAATTTTAAGAGGCTCTCAAAAAATCAAGTCTCCTTCATCATCGTTCCAAAAATTCAAACTCAAATTCCAGCAGTTAGATTTAGCAGCTACCTGTGCTTGAAATCGTAAGCAGTACCCCACTAAATCCAAGTACATCAACTTGCATGTACCTATCTTATCCAATTATTGACTAAATTCCACTCTATCCCCATGAATTATCATTTCCAACCTATTGCATTAAACCATAGCAACTCATTTCCCTCAAAAAACAAATTACCATATGCAAAACCAACAGGTCCCTCACTGTTTACACAACGCATACTTCCCCTATACTTAACGTATTAATTTACTGCACCGTAAATTCCTACCTACAGAACCAAATGAATAAACATTACGCCACACCTGCGACAAAATTATTTAGTAGGAAATACCAAAGTGCACTACTTCCAACTACATGCAAAGTTTCACTAATACATAACTGCCAAACTGCAACTAAATTATACTTAACACTAAGTAGGTTTAAGATAAGTGTGAAATTGAACAGACCCAGATTATAACATAAAAAAATTAAACAACAAGTCCGTATACGTCTATAAATAGTTTTATTCCATGAAATATTAACTCTAGCAATTAAACTCCGTCGAAAACATGATTTATTTTACAGTCTTGGATTTACAGTGTTTTAACTTGCTAGATTCATATAATACAATGTAGAATATTTTCCACTTCATAATTAAAATATTTGGTATTAAAAACAAGCATATCAGATATTGTCTACGACTTCGTTACAAAAATAACTAAAGTTATCTGACAGTCATTTAAGTACTTGGGATAAAAAGCTATCACAATATTCATTTCTTGTTAAGTAGATAACAAAATACTTCAGTGTTACATAAACGAGAATGAACACTACTTTCCTACATAATCATCAGAACAAATATAACTGTGCATCAAAAATATATGTCTTTTCGTCACAAGTTAGTTTTATGCTAAAGGCAAAATTAAGAATCTTTTTTGTACAAAGAACCATGAACTTTGAAATACTATACAACCCAGAAGACTAAATTGCAGAAAAACAAAAAAGAGCTGATTTTTTAGAACACTATATCGGCTGCTATACCTTAAATTTTAGACTAATATTACTTGCCGATAATGAAAGTCCCATCCATTCACAAAAGATGTAAAACTTTCATCCAAAAAGTAGATCCCAGCTCATTAAAAGCAATCAGAAGAAGCATTCCCAGCATCTTACACCCTTAATTTTTGCATCCATATCTCTACACTTCATCAAACCAGCTTTAGCAGATTGAATGATAATGCTCTAAAAAATAAAACCAAACATTACGTTACTTTTATCACTTATTACTCAGCAGACCATTCTCGTATTTTTAAGAATTGAAGAATTCAGTATACAATGAATATTTCGACACTTACAGATATGTAATCTAATGCTAAAAAGAGACATGAATTTTTTTGAATATTGACACTGGAAAGTGAAATTATATGAGACAGAAAAGAAAATGTAGAGAAATCATTTGGAAGTTTTGTACTGTATAGAAACCACGAAAACTAAAATGAAAATGGGGGTTCTTTCAGATGAAATATTTCCCATTACCAAATGTGAATTACGATGAAGAAGTGTTCGGTGATGCAGTTTGCTTCGAATTTTGCCTGAAACAGATAATCATTTTGATTGTTTTTTTAAATAATAAAAACATAACGTTATCAAAAATCATTCGCATCATGGAACAATTTAAGATTCATATGATTCCGTCAAAAATTAATTTAACCTAAATAAAAGATGGATAATATTTCATTAAAAATATCACTATTTACATCTAGAAACTAAGAAAACATAATCAGTTTGAAAAATCTATGATATAGAATGAAAACAACTGTAGAAAAGATAATTTTGCAAAAAAAAGAAATTAGATGTGTCAACTAACCAACAAACAATATTTGTGAGAATGATTTCGGCTAGCTGACGCATTTTTTGAGAAGATCGTTCATCACTAACGACTTTTTCCAATAAAGGAATACCACCTTCATAAAGAACAAAAGCACAATACTTATCTCCTGGTAAAATAATAGCACTTTACATAACGAAACATGAAAGCTGATTCACGAAAATATGAAAATTAAATAGCCTTTCCATGGTTGATATGAGAAATTTTAAACCACTGTACAATAATGGGCATATAATAAATAAATAACTTCAACACAATTTTTCTTCATTACGCTTAAATATAATTTTAGAATGCGAAGCCAAAAATAATAATTTCGTCCTAATCACAGAAATCAAAAAACAATGAGTCTCACTCACTGTCAGTGGACGTCAAATTGGCAAGTGCCCAAATTGCCCAGTGCTGGCTTGCTGGGGCATCAAACATTGGAATCAATCTTAGAATCGGCTTAAATGATCTGTAATTTATAAAGCGCTTGGCTTTCAAATCCCAAGTATCAGTGGCCTGAAATGAAATTTATACAGCATATAAAAGTAGCATTTAAATATTTAAATTGAAACACTTTTAATAATTACTCATTTCATTAACAGACAAAATTAAAACATCTATACGACAGAAATATCCCAATAAAAATGAAATCATTTCAGTCGCTTGTAGCATCTAAAATGAAACTAGATTGAACAGTATTTATTCAATTACATTTTTAATAAACAAAATCTCATACCTTGATTATTTTATCCATAACTACGGCACGCGAAACACTTACTTTTGACCAAGCTGTTTCGCCATCACTTACCATGTGCGCAAGCACTCCGGCACTATTATAGCTGATTTCAATACCATCAACTAGCATTGTTAACAGTGCACTAAAAAAATGTGACCCGAAATTTAAAAATTGTCCGAAATGTCTGTAAGGTATAATGAACTGACAGACACGAATCATTAGTTATAACTCTCATAAAATTAAAGACAAAAAATTTGAAATTTGCAGACCAGAAGATGTTAACGTATTCATCAAACATGAGCTGTGTACGAAGTCGCTCAACTTCAGCAATATTTCCAATTAATCCCATCATGTTACGAACAAGTTCTGTTTCATTTTGAAAGCGCTGATAACATTGATGAAATAAACGAAGACCATCTGCATTAAGAAAACGTTCACAATTCACTGGTGTTTCATCTATAAAATAAATGAACAATGAGTAATGAAAAAAATGGCTCTTACTGAAGCAAAGTGAAAACTTAAAAGATGTTATAGAGCAAAGTTATTGAATGATATATATGTTTCATGCAAAGGTAACATTTAATCTATTTAACAACTTCTACTTTTCCCTTAACATTATTGTCAAAAAATATTATTTCTATCTTATGTCATATCTCAAATCTATAAAAGAATAACAATGACAACCAGTAATATTCCACAGAAAACTCCACCCCACTTCCATGACATCATCGCAAATGCTGGCAGCATGTTTTCGACGAATCTGTTGGAGAATAATCTAAAATTAAAAGAGTTTTCCGTAAAGGACAAAATCTTTTTGTTACTGTATGATAGAGCTCACTTTCCTGATATCTACAACAGGTTAAAGTTGGCTAAACATAAAAGGAATTGTTAGAAGGTAATAACCTCGATAGCACCGATGTTACCGACTTGAACTTTTTGTTCACCATCTACATGACATGCCATTGAATTAAGTAAAAAAACTACGACACGTTGAGTCAAATGATCACTATTATGATGATGTTGCAATGCAGCGATAAGTAAACGTGCTACACGACCGTAGTCAAAAAGTATTTCTAATGGTATTTCGAACTGACAGAGTGATAAGCAGCAGTTTCGAACCATCACCTGAAGAATTCTTTCTTATCATTTCATTTGTATCGACTCGAAAACTACAACAGATATAGAATTTTTATGATAAACGTTGGAAAACAGTTTGCAAAAATGATTAAACTACCTGTTCCTCCATATGTGCATCCATTCCATTCAGTAAAGCAGTCACAACTAATCTCTTTGTATTCCTGTTCATGCTCACTTTACGAATCATATAAAACAATGAAGCTGATCCAGCAATTTGTAACGTACTATCTCCAAGATGACGTTGCATCGCTTTTAAAACAAGATGCAATGCCTCTGTGTATCGAGTCTGGTAAAATGTATAAATATATGGTTCAATTTAATACTAGAAGTGAAAAAAAAATAATGAAGTAATAGATATAATAATTTTCAATGTCATAAAAATCTACTGATTCTGATCACGAAAATGGATAATTCAACGATAAAATTCCGTTGTATTTCACTATCATTGAATAATATGAAGAGATGTAAAATGAATTTTTTGAAAACTTACAAGGTTATGCCCAAATCTATAGAGTTGGTAAGTTTCATTTAAAACCGCTTGTAGTAAACCAGCTCGTTCACTATACATTCGCAAAGCAAGTAAAACTTGTTTCTCATCTTTGTCACCAGCTATCTAAAAATATGACAAACATAACCTATCATCATAACTTATCATAATGTGTTCAAGTACTTCTTAAATAAAAATACATTTCATTTATGAATTATAAAAAACTATACAAGCAACAGATTATGATTATTTAAATTAATTTTGACCATTTTCCTAGAATTTTAAAGCGCTACAAAACGACTTACATTCTTAGCAGGTATTTCAGCAAAATGAGATGCACCATCACAATTAAACAAGCCCAAATATTCAAGCGGTCCTTCTAAACAACGAAGTCCATATATATCCGACCTAACTGACGTTGTTCTATAACACAATGAACTAATCAAGTTGTAGTCATAGGAAAATCAGCAAAAGCAGAACGAATATTTTTTACCCGTTTACTGGTCTATCATAAGTAGATGGTTGAGAAGCAAGATTGGTAGATGAAATATCTAAATGTGTAAGAGAGCGTAAACATGTCACAATTCTATGAAGTGCTGTAACTGGCCTGGGATATGTACCTGTCTCTTTTGCACTTTGTGATATATCTAAAAATCTGTAAAAAAAAACTTTTCTAAATAAGTGCTTTGATGAAAATGAATGACAAGCAAATCCGTCAAATGGAAAGAATTAAACTACGATATTAAAAAATAACCTGTAAGCTGAAATAGAAAAAAAATTCATTATATTTCTAAAAATATTTTAAAAAAATAAAATAATATTGTGATTCCCCAAATGCAGTTCAAAATAACTGCAAACTCCAAAATTGTCCGAAACTTTCAAAAAATGAACATAAAAGAGTGTTATAATATGAACAATCATGTTTGACAATGAATAGAAACCACGATATTAAAAAATGAGCAGCAAAGATGCATAAAAACAAACTTTAGAGTAGTAACTTGCACAATAGTATCTAAAGCACGATAAAGGTCCGGCACATCGAAAAGAATAAGAGTTGAAAGTGAGTGAGGATGTAAACAGTGTAAATCATCAACTCGTTGCCAATGTGAAAGATCCAAGCGTTCTAACTTTTTCAATGGTGATAAAACACGGTTTAGAAAATCATTTACTGATTCATCATTTTCATCATGTCCCCGTTTCTGGAAGTTAAATAAGTACAGATATTGAGAATTTCTTGAAGTATCTACTAAATAATCATTTCCAATGAAATTATGAATAATTTCTAACCATCCCGTGATGCTGCAACAAAGTTTTTTGCCACAAATACTGAAAGCTTTACTATGCTAAATTTCTCCAAATTGCTACTTTCTTAAATAGATCTATCGGTGATTCCATGCATTTATTGTTTAATAACTGTTGCTATCAGATAAACTTATTTACACCAATATGATTTCTCCTTGTATAGGCAAATAAGTTATCATTTTTCTACTTCAAACATAAGTAGTGCGTATACAGAAAGTAGTTTCTTCAAAATTTTTAACTGAGATTTTCAATTACTTGTCTACTAAAACTGTTACTGACCGATTAAATAACACAAAAACTTGGAATTCTGAAATTTAAAAACGCTAAGCACAGAATGAACAAATATCGTAGATTTAAAAATTAGTCTGGTACATTAAAACACAAACTCGATGAAGTGTTAAAGAACGAATATTTAGACAACGTGACGTGAAAGTTGGTATTTCAATAGTGGGGCTCGGTGTAGATTCTTCAGTGATTTCGCTACTGTCACAGGAAGACCGGCAACTAATAGTTGAAATAATTTCATAATCATTAAGAATGAAAAATGACACAATTATCTTTCACTTTAGAAATAAACGCAAAATTGCAGAAACATGGAGAATTTTTAATTCAGCTTATGAGAACTCTTCCAATGAACAATGAGTAATATAAGTACTGACGGAGAAGAAAAAATAAAAAAAGTATTCAGATAATGGCGAAATCAAACCGTTTAGATGAAGCAGATGTTTGACCACTTTCTGAAGTATCAATGTAATGATCAATATTTGTGTCAATGATTGAACTAACAAGATCCTCTTCCGAAAGCACTGGTAACGTTCCATATGAGCCACTTGTCGAATAACTACCTCTCATTCTACGCGGGGAAACAGTAATCACCGGGATACGAAGGATTTCAAACGAAGTCATCGCCAAACATGTAAGCTGCTTTAACTGCACCGACTTTTCTTCTAACAGTCTATTAAACTCATGGCCAATAAGACCCTAAAACCAATTACTATGCACAGCATTTAATATCAAAAAATGACTAATATCCAGCTTGTAAAAGAGAAGAACTCTCATCAATAATTTCCCACTTGAAAGCACAAGTGTTACAATACTTTCCAAAACATTTTGGTTGGTTGTAAACATATAATGAAATATGAAAAACAATGAGAACGCTACCTGTACATCACATATATCAAGAGACATCAAGTTTTCACGATGAGCAGCAACTAATTCAGCCAATAAGCGATCCGTAAGATGAGCACCAGATAAATGCAAGGTATTCAATGGCAAACATCTTGCATTCGTGAACTGCATTAATGCATTTGTTGGTGTCAACCCCTGAAAAAACCATAAATGACATGCAATATCGAAAGTAAACTTTATGACAAAAGTGTAGTAAATAATTGAGCAGTGCTATTATCAATACATCACTTAATCGAAAAACTTAGAAATACCACTAGCAAATGCGTTAAAAAATATGAATAGAGTAAATTAAATCGATTCCTAAAGATACAAGTGATGGTTTTTCACTGAACGAAACTTTATAACAATAATAATAATAATAATAATAATACCGTTCTGGTCCACTGTTCTCTTAAGGCATCAAAAACAGCGGTACTTGCAGGAACAGGAAGCTGAAGAACGTCATCATCAGTTGCTTCCTCACCAGTTTTTACTTGCTGTTGTATATGAGAACTCTCAACCTTCGTTTCATTTGATATAGACTTTGGTTGAGCAAGAAGTGTACTAGAATGTGCAGCAACAACACTGGCTGATAGCTGTAACAGTCGCGGTGCTCGAAGTGGAACATCCGCTTCTGTATAAGTCATAATTAAATCTGTAAACAAAAAACCAGTCAATCAATATTTTACAGACATTAAAAAACTGTAGTCATTTTCAAAAAGCCAAAACTTTTATCCGTCAACAAAAATAGTAAGGATAAAAATCTGAATCGACTCTCGAATTTAATGATCAAACATCAGTGAAATGATTATAATAATACAAATGAATTAACAAATACATACCAAACAAGCAAGTGAATAAAATGCTATTCAATTCATCAAATTAGTATACATTATTGAGAAAAAAAACGAAAGCTATTTTAATAAAATGTTTAAGTAAGTGAAGAAAGCAGTAATTGCATCGAAGAAAAATATTTAAAAAAAATTTAAGATGATCACATGATCTCTTTCAAGTCGCACTTATTGACTACACTAGAAGCAACCGCTTTATGAAGACTGATAACAATGAATAGAATTACAAATAGTAGTACACTTATATAAATTTTACTTCTCGCCTGAATTAGCATTTAATGCCACACAGAGCGAAAATAGCATGCAGCCAAAGAAATATCGACGTACATCAGGCCAAACATAAAAACTTAGAAAATAGGCTGGTAAACAATTACTAATTTTTTGAGCAGTTCAGAAGCATACCTGAAAGCAGTATGCAAGGATCTCAAAACTAATCAAACAATTATATTTGCTATGATTTCATTTTATAATATCTCAGAAAAATATTCCACAATCAAAAAATCACAAATTTTAAACAATAAAGAGCATTGATTAAGCAGAAATAAACATGATAAATTGACTACAAGTGTAACCTATCTTGCATTCTTTACACGCACAGTCTAACCAAAGTAAAGTATAATCAAAAAGTTAGGTATTCCTGCCTTCTACGTGTTTTACGTGAAAAATCCTTAACAGTTGTTAAAAGTAGAAAGTAAAGAAGAAAATGATAAATTTAAAAGATGCAACAACTGACATTTATTCAACGGAATAATCATTTCACATACATCAAACACACAAAGCAATTTTCAGTTTTCTTACTAATCTATTTCACTAACAATCACCTGCACTCAGGCATGCGTGCGTGTAGAAGATATGGCATACATACGTATATAGACAAGCAAACAACATGCATGTACATACACACACACGCACACAAAAATAGTTCGCACGTGCATAGACATACACACACAGCCAGAACATAACAGCAAGAGCACAAGAATGCTTTGGTATCATATTCGTACTGTGTCCGTAAACAAATGTGCAGTTTTTTAATCACTATAATATGTGACTAGTAAATTTAAATTAAACTCATTCCTTTTTTATTTAATAAGTAATTGCTGCTAGAATCTTAGCTATAACCTATTCACATTAATAATAATTAAATCTAAATTCTATTCAAGTACTTGGTGGTTATTTACGTAAGCAGCAAGCAATTCTAGCACATCCCAAAAAAAATAACTTATTCACAGAAGCACTCAATGCGAGTACGTTTTGCGAACTGTCCACATATTCATATTTCTACCCTACAATATGCTTTGCTTTTTCTTCTGTACTCTACCCCACCACACATATGCATCTGAATACAACTAATTACACATGCAAATTAGACATCACAAAGTTATTCCTCTTGTAAATACTCTCACATCTTTTACTCACAAAATATAAAATATACTCGACTTGCTCTAATCTCTACAATTTATTAATCATCTGCTCGCACAGCTTTCTCCGTTAAAGTAAACATGCATCCAGTAAGTAATCACTTAAACAAATCATAGCACCTATCATCACAATCACATCTCTATAATACTTTCTGCCAACCTACATGAATGAACGAAAATCTCCCCACTCACGCTACCTCACCAAATTCCTGCATGGAAAAGTCCAACACCATGCCTAAATTATCTCATTAACTACTACGCAGCAAAAATAAATCTACTGTGCAATAACTTTATCCAACATCAAAGCTTTATTCCGACAGATATTTTATTCTAGCCATTAAATTTATCACTGTCGATGTACAAACCTACAACGCACATCAGTACAAAAACCGGCTTGAAGAGATTAGATACTCGCTAACATTTTCACAAAAAGTCATTCATTTTCATGAAAACTTTCAAGAACCATTACTTTCATTCAGCAAAATTGAATCTTGCATCGAATATAGAAAAAGAATTCATACCGACCTTATCACAAAGTACAAAATAAAACCGTTACGAATCACACCAATCATTTAAATGCACTGAACAGTACAACCTTAATTTGAATAATTGATAAGCTGTTATACTTTACGATCGTTAATCGCTATATTTTAAACTTCTTCTAATATAAAATATCTAAGAGTGCGAGAAATCGTCAAAATTATCAGTTGGATTGACACATTTGCCGGCATATTGTACTCAGTGAAACTCAAATCAGTTTACGCACGCTACCTTTGGTCAGAGCAACAATCAATTATTAGCAATAATACTGTATTCACACATTTACACTTCAAACTTCGTAAAATTAGAAACCTTTTCTAAATAGCATACAAGCATCACTACGGTTATACATATGACTTGCTTTCTATGATCAAAAAAAATCAGCGTAATAATCTTTGCTATTCTAGAAGGAAATAAAAAATACAAGTGTATAAACCAAGATTCACTACAATGAATACTGCGAAATACATTGCTCTAAGCAAAAAATTGCACTGCTATCTATCGCAGGATAAGAAAACGAATACTTTTGTTATGTTTAATACTGAAAACAGAAAGTGCCAAGATGATTTCTTCAATTTAAAATTTTATTTATTCTTTTCAAATATTTCAATTTCCCATCAAAAACTTTTAACCTGTACATGTTTCACTCTACTGTTTGTTTACCAATAATATGAACTTGTTCATGCTTCGTTTTCATTCTCTTACTTTTAAATATTTCGCATGAAAATTACTGTACTTTAAATTTATTGATAAGACTGCGCAAAATTTTTACACAGATCCAATAGAACAATCATGGAACAAAGTAGAATTGGACCAATAATTGCACCTTGTAATCCAAGCCAGTACATGCCACCAATAATTGCTAAGCCAGTGACATACGGATGGCTTCCACTGAAAATTATCTTTTAATTGTTTCAATACTATACAAATAACAGCTACAAGCAAAGTAAAAACAGCAACGAAGAATACAAAATGCAATCCAGAACTATGCACGCTACTTCTGAGTCATCCTTCTCAACATTGAATGCATGCACACAGCAGATGGATTGCTATTCCCGGAACCTTCACTAAGCACCGCATACCATCAACTCAACTCAGTGATATGTGCGTCAACAACACTTCGCTCAGTCAAAGTTTAGTCGGCATCACAGTAAACTCAGCCGAAAGATGGTGAATTAAATAAATCATCATCGCGAAATGAATGTATTTCATGAGAACAGTCCATTCATCACGAAACCGAACATTGAAACCTCCCGACATTAAAAACCACATCTACCCCAATAGGCTACTCAATGCTAACCTGCTGAGTTATAAATTATGACATCATTAACAACTATAACTAACAAATACCTAGTTCACTAATACCTTATGAATACATTTTTATTCACCGTTAGTAATTGTTATTGCATCAAAAATCTAATAAATCATCACTAACGATGTCCTCCAAGTTTACTATGCATAAATACTATACCTCAACTCGTTATAAAAAGCTGTTTCGGCAAAAACTTTTGGTGCAAATCCCGCCATAACAAACAAAATAGCAACAGCAGTTTCATGCTTCATGAAATATAATTCCAGGAAACCAAAAATAAAGACAAAATAAGGTGATACAATGGGGACTGCTGCGAAAATTGCTGCCAACACTGAAACGAAAGAATTTAATAATTATTTTCGACAAATTTTCTTTTGGAAATATTTTAATTACAAACAGCACTTATCACAGAAACAAAATGTTATTGGGGAGAATCGAAAATGCTCAGTAGTAATCATAGGCGCTGAGATCTTTCCAAATGAAGTTGTTCGATTTCTGATATCGATCAACGCTTATGTTCATTTAAACATAACTTTCATCAAATACTATCTTTGCATGAATATCTACTGATCTATCAGTTTAAGGTAAAAAATTATGATCACTTGCTTGAAGGTATAAAAATAATATTAATATCAAAAACTGAGTGGATAAAATATGCATATAATCCATGAAAAATTGCCATTTTTGCCGAAAAAACGAACACACCACTAAAATAAAATAAATACATTGAAAATTATACATTGCAAAGTTGAATCTAAAGCATTTTCCAAACCAGACCTCCCTGTCAAAATGTCAGAACCAGAAACAAGATTAACAAAATTAATGTCAATTAACTTACTGACTCTTCACTGAATAAATAAAAAAGTGACCTTATCGCATGTTCGATAGCTGTAATGATATCTCCAGTATTATATACAACAGATCCAGATTTACCATGAGATAAAGGCAGTACATCATTCAGCCATTTCATTGGCAGCCAAATATCATGACTACTAGCTAATAAGTAATACAAGGCTGTCAGGAAAACAATCTACAAATGGTATTTAGCAATGCAACGACTTCAAAATTTTGAAAGAAAATTTGGTTATTCTAATGAATTAAAAGAGAGAATAAATCTTACAGTTTCCAAAAAGAAATTGAAGATTTCAAGGCCAAAATCTATCACAATTGCAATGACAGCAAACATAACTGTTCCCAAAGTGGATATATTTGCGGAAGTGAAGGACCAGATTGATTGTGCAATCTGAATTCTAGGTTTTCATTTTCTACTGCACAATAATATATTATTTTTTGTTGCCATTTTAATTGTGTTTTATATAAGTGATTATTGAATCATTAAACGATGAGAAAAACCAAAAATGTGGATACAATACTATACAAATTATTTATAATACGTGAAAATCATCTCTTTCACTGAATACAAACAAATTTTCGACCATACTCGATCTATTTTTTCAATTGTTTATAATTATCTGAAATATAAGCAGATGTAAAATCTATTAAGCAATTCAATCATTGTTCTAATACAAATTTTATCTCAATTAGATGAAATAAGGAAGAAGAAAATACTTACGCTCATTATCATATCGATGTTTGCTTTAATCAATTCAATAACTTCCTCTTTGAGTGTATCTAAGCTTGTAAAAACTTTTACGTGATCCATCCAACCTTTCTCGACAGTACTGTTGCCCGAAGGCAATATATTTCCCTCATTACGGGTTTCCCATACTTTATACAGCTTATCCAGTAACTAAAAGAAATTTCAAGTTTACACTGCCACTTTTCAAGGTAAAGATTTTCATGTCTTTGATATATGTTGCTTCATCGTAACAACAATTTAAGACAAAAATTAGAAAAACGACCTCAATTAATTCGATTTGAAGAAGTTCTCCTCTAACGGGATCTTTTGTTGGAATGATTGAACGTATGTTAGTGACCATCCATTCTCGCCCTTTGAGATAACCCTGGATAATTTTCCTTCATTCTCGAAAAAAGTAAAAGTTTAGGAAGGTTGGTCTTCTCAAAATATCAAAAAGAATAATTATTTTTTAATGCGATAAAATATCTTGAATTCTGACTTGTTCAACATAATTATTAATATCGTTTTCCTCCAATTCATTTCCAGTATAAGTTTTTGCGTAATCCATAATCCATTCAGGCTGTTGCAACATCAGATTAGCACCGAGACGGATCAAATGAACTCCTTCGCTATGAACTTCGAAAAGAGTAATAAAAGCAATAAAAAGAGATATAAAAACTAGTAATAGCATAACCAGCACGGTTGAAATATCATCCAGAGCTCGTCTTAAGAAATTCTTTATCTAAAAACAGAGATCCATTTGTACCTGAAATCAGTTAATCATACTCATACCTAAAAATTTCAAAACTCAAAATCAAGACGGCACACATATTCAAATTCTGAAGAAGAAATGTTGTTTGCAACAAATACATTCAAATGTGGAATAGAAAATTAGGCACATTCTTCTATGGAAAGTAAAAAAAAAACCTTCATTAGAGGGAAGAAAAATACTCTAAATCTTAAGCATCTTCTACAACTAGCAGTAGAGTTTATTACAAAGATTGTATAGGATGCCGACTCAAAAAAACACTAATAAATTAGCAAGGAAAAACGGAGAGAGCAAAAAATACCATGTAATCTTTTGAAAAGAAGAATCTGAAGAAATTTCTGACCGGTCCAGATACAGTAACATACATTAATTGCTTTATTTTCTGATAAAATATTTTGAGAACGTCGTTAATTCTTCCTTTAAGACCTGTCTGCGTGGAAACAATGAAACCTGAAAACATATTCTGGTTACGAAATGCTAAGATTTTTGTCATCAAACTCATATGTCGGGAATCCAAACTCTCATAAAATCATATGAGCAGGTATACATGAATTAATTATTTTAGTAACCAAGGAAATTACTTAAACTTTTCTACTGCTTATATGTTGAAAACAGAATAATTCTAATATTATCACCAATCTTTCTTAACATTGTGAAGAAAGCCATAATGAATGCGACACAAATCACAAAATCGTGTAGTACAGCAAATTCTAGTAGACATAAAAGCATAATACCCTGAAAAAAATAAACAGATAATAATATTATAAAAACAATTTTGCAAGACTAAATCGAAGAATATTTTTTATTTAATAATGTTTCTTCGCAATAAATAAAATTTCAGCATTAGAATCGTATAAAACGTGATTTATACTGCTAATTTTGCTACTTTAATGCACTATCCTACACACTGCCGTACAAGAAGCAATAAAACTACAATTTGATTACCTGCAAATAAAAATTGCCTGTCAATTTCTCACTCCCAACATTTTCATCATTCGACTCTTCGGTGATCTTGGAAGGAACTTCTGAAAGCTCATAATCCCTCATTGATCAATTTTGTATATAAAGTTTGGTTTCATCACCCAGATTTATTTCCTCCTCATTCAAATCAATGGAAATTTATGATGGAAAATGACATAACAAACCACCAGTTTTTTTTGCATCATCTACTGTGATTTCTTCTGTAGTCAATATCCCTACTGCTATAGTAGCGAGCACCACTGAAGCAACGGTCATAATGATGACAGCAAAAGGACCGAAGAAAGAGGATATTTTTGCTAAACCATACAACCTATGAAATAAAAGTAGAGGCTTTAAGATTAAAAGAATAGAAATATACAAATATTTTCAAAATAAAAAAAAACATAGCAAAAATAACTTTTTGATAGTTTGAAAAGGATTTGTAGGCAAATTTGTGATAATGAATATAAACACAAAATTTAGAATCATAAAACCAGAATTACTACAAAACGGCTTACCACAGAGGAGCAGATATCAAACGTGCTAATTTTTTGTGGATGAAACGTGCATCTTGTACACAAAGCCAACCACAAAATGCAGCAAAATATAAAGACATCAAAACCAGCACCTTTAATGGATTATTAGCAAAAATATGATTTCTGGCTTTATAATACGCTTTTTTCCAGTATATTTCTAATATTATCGAAATAAATTGAAAAAATATTATTGTAATAAGCTGCTATCTTAAATTGTAATAAACCTGAGAACGATTCGGTAAATGCATGGATTTTTTAATAAATATCAAAACCAAAATATGAACGGAGCATTTATGAAAAATATTATTGCAATAAGCTGCTGTCTTAAATTGTAATAAACATGAAATAATTAGCATCAGACCTTGTCATATATGTAATAACATTTGGAATAAAAACTGACCCAGTTTTTGCTGCATAACTGAATAAAGTGATCGATATTTGAATAAAGATCACCAATCAAATGTACCAAACTGATTAAAGTGACACGTCTTAACACTTTTAAAATCAAATAGACTGCCAGTACCACAACTCCTTCACGCCTGCAATACAAGATCCTAATTGAGTGTCAGTACCCATTTTCAGCTAAATGTAACTTTTCCATGAGCTTTACATTTATGAAGCATAGATAATTAACATCAAACCTTGTCATATATGTAATAAACGTATCAGTGAAGCTAGTAACAGCATGATATGGCATGAAAGCAACAGATAAAAGAAACGGTATTTCTTCCTCATCTGTTCTTGACATCCATCCTAAATTTTCAAATTACTAAAAAATTGATTAGCAATAAAAAAATGAGACAAATTTCATGAGAAGAAAATTATCAGTAATAAAAAGTTTTTTAGCGCTAATAAACTATTCAAAAATTCAAATAAAAGCTTTTTTATTTACACACGAACTTATTTGAAAGTACCGCTGATAGAACTCTTGATGTGTTTTTTTACAGGAAAAATTATCGTTCCTACGAGTGTAGCCCACATTAAAGGTGTTATAAACATATATAACATTTGGTATATCGCATAAAGCCCTGCCAAACATATTCCTGCCTGAAAGAAAAAAAAAGAATAACTGAATATCAGATGGAACGACACACAAATATTCATTCCTAAATTAATACTAATAATCTGATTTGAATTTGTCTAAAACTTTTATAAGTATGATGCTTATTTTTCAATAAATTTGTAGAAGATGACAGAACGATAAATAAAATAAAAAACAACTCTTTACTCGCCTAAATTAGTTAAAATGATCGCTTACCAAAGTAAGCAGCAGAATATTGCACAAAGCGAACTGTAGAGGCATTTTATGATCAATGCCTGTTGTCAATTGTCCAACCAAATTCATATCTAAAATTAAAGTCAACTGTCCAACCAAATTCATATCTATTATTTTTATGAACAAAATTAAAAACCGTCACTCTGCTTATGAAACCGTTCTACCGAAGATAAAAAACGCAAATAAAAAAGAAATAATGGCACGAGCAAACTTAACACAACGTTTTACATAACAATTATACCATGTATAAACATGCACAGCCATATCCCTTCCATATGATTCACTTAAAACAACGATTCATAACGAAACATATGGTAATAATGAGCTGGATATCATTACTGCAGTAGTAGAAAAAGACATAAATGTAAGATGAACATCAACATTTTTAGAAGTAAATTAAGTTTTCTACAAAGTAAAAATTTGCGAAAAAAATTCAAGTGTGGAAGAATAAGAAATAGTGAAATTGATTTGTGCTACAAAGAATATAATGCCTTAGTTTTTGAAAGTCTAAAAATAGAAAATACAAAATTAATGCATGCGAGTATTCAAAATAAATTGTTAAAATGCGTAAGAATATTAATTAAATAAATGAAAGAGCACTCTTAGCAATAAGAAATACACCAAAACAAAAGTAATTAATGCTCAAATTAATGTCGTGTAATTGATATGCATTGGGAATGACTGATTATTTGAAGTCCAATTTAATACTTTGTATCGTATGGAAAATTACGTCAACAAATGAAGCATAAAACAAAAAATTTTCATGAAACGATCACAAAAATCACTTCAAAAAAGTGATTGGATCTACGCGAATTATTAATAATAACAAAAATACTAAACAAATTTATCGTTACATTTCACGGAACTATTAATACATTTGACTTTCGATCGTTAAACACAAAACATACTTAAATGCAAATTAAACTGACAACTAAATTCGATAACGAATACTTTTACAGTACAAAAGATTTTTTTGGTAATCAATTATTAGCCGCAAATTGAAATGATTCTTACGAATTAAATATAACGATGTATGATTGATATGGAATGATTAAATTTGACATTCAATGTAATGTCTCTAAAAAATTAATACTATTTTCTCTCATCATATTTTATAAGTGTTTAAATCCCAAATCAGTAGTGATTAATGGGAATTTGCCCATAATTTGAATCAAACTATTGATAAATGAACATTTTACGGTAGTATTAACACTAGTTCAATTATATCGATAATATATTAAAAGATATGTCCAAGTATAAACGGTAATAATGCAACGCACAAGTTCACGTAAGTGTTACATCATTAAAAAATACAAACTTTTCTGACGAGGGTGTACTTCTGCTGCAATAGTAAAAGTATTAAGTATAGATTCTTAACACGAAAATTGACTATTTCAAAAATTCGAAAAGAAAAGATTGGAGAGCAGTGAAGAATCGGCGTTCATTACAGATGTTGTTTTTTTGTATGTAATGTGAAGTGTGGTGTTTTCAAAGTTTTAAGTACTGAGGGATTCGAGAAATGCCGGGAGACATAGAGTCATCTAGATATCATTTACGTGGGCCCGTAAAACCTCCATCACGTTATGCTGATTCAGGCGATGAAGTGCAAGACGTTGCACGCACTGCGACTCCCAAATCAAAAAGGTATTTAATTTGAAATTCAATAAAAAATCTGTTTTTTAACTTTTAGTTTTAATACAAAAACACCCTCACTTACTTTTTTACATAGTTTATATATTTATTTTATTTAAGGGAGGCGAAACATTGCAATTATGATACAACTGCAGAGTTATTCAAATTTGAAATTGTTGAATTTTTTAGTAAACGTTCCTCACCGGTAAAGCGTGGCGTAAAAGGATTAAAAATGAGAGAGAGTGATTCCGATAGTAACGCTTCCAGTAGTACGAATAATCGAATACCTAAGAAATTGCCTGAAGTGAGTTATGAAGGAAAAATACTTCTAGTTATTCAGTTTGAATTTACATTTATTGTTAGCACTTTCTATTATATTTTAGTGATAATTTACTTCGTTTGATGTTATTATTAACCCAGATATGATAGTTTTTGTCAACTTTATATCATTCAGTCATCCATATCACCATTGTGTTTCACATTAATATTGTCATTGTCGCAACTGTCGTTGTAATTTTTCTTGAAAGTATGATTTTTGCTATCTTACAAAATCAGTTTTTCAATTTCTTTATCAACTTCTAGGCAATTTATGACGTTTTAAGTTCATGCCATGAAGATTCAGTAACCTACTTTTAGAATGCTAAAATGGCAGTCAGTAACGGAATTCAGCAAGAAGAACGAGATCAACGAGAAGGGACCAAAGGACATACTACGCCACGCACCGCACGTCCTCAACCGTCTGAGATATCATTGGCAATGAGGGAAAATTTACGTCATTTGAAGAATGTGTTAAAGTTACCCAAAGTAATGTATTTATATTTCGCATTCTGGTCTGAAAAACATCCCAATTTAATTCTTACTTATAATTGCTCATAACTAAACAGGAGTCGAAAAATACTTATTTCTTACGTTTTAAAACTAGCATTGAGTTGATAAACTATAAATTATGCAATTTTTGTGGTATTTTCCTAGTATCTTATGTGTAAACATTTTTTGAATTTCAAACGTTTCAGGCTCGTAGGTGGGTTTATTGTGAATTTTTTTATTCCGGTGTTGATCAACAGCTTTTTTTGGGTGAAAACGAATTTTTGCAAATGCTTCAAGAGATGCTGCCCAATCTACGGACTTTTAAACTCTGTAAGCCAGAGTGGCGTGCCATACGACGAATGATTGGGAAGCCTAGAAGGTGTTCTCAAGCATTTTTGAATGAAGAACGCGTATCGTTAGATATGAAAAGGTACAAATGATATAAATTTTAGAAAAGCTATTATTAGAAAGACTATTATTTAAATATATCATGAAATGAGTTACATATTATCAAAAGTTCTTCTAAACATATTAAGGAATTCAAAATCAGAGTCTTAGTATAATTTTTGATTTGGCAGTGCATCTTTTTAAATTGTGATCTGGAGCGATAACGGAAATATTCAGCTGAAATATTTTTAATTTCACGATTAAAAGCAAGTTTTTCTATTATAAATAATTGTCTACCAGTAATTAACAGTTTAAAAATAGTAGAAAAATGTACTAAAACTGAAGGGTTGTGATCTTTTATAGTCATAAATTTTTGGCATGACTGATTTTGTTTCTGTCATATACTGATACCGGTTTAGTCATGAAAAGTTTTTCTTTGCAGTTTTGTTTTGTAATGAATAATATTTTAATATTCAGAGCTAAAATTCGTCAAATTTACGATGGAAGTGTGATGGGTGCACCACTTGGGTGTGAGCTTCCATTACGTTTACCTCGACCACTGATAATCGGTGCGAAAATATATGCGCGAGTACGCACTCCTAAAGATGGTATTTACGCCGGGACAATTGATGCTATTCTACCAGATTCTTATCGAGTAGTGTTTGATAAGGAAGAAATGATTCCACCGATGATTATCAAAGATTCAGAAGTTATGTCTGCTCAACCGGTAGGTATTAAAATTTTTTTCTTTTATTTTCAGGATCTAGTATATAAAAAAGTTCCAAGCCAGCAATTATACTTTCATTTTTGTTTGCACTGATTAGCATTCCTTATTAGAGTTGTCTATGATAAATTTAAAAAATTTTCTTTAAAATTGAAATAAATCAAAATCATCTTTTTTTTAAAAAAAACTTTAAAAAAAACTGCTATAGACTGAACTTCTTTCGATCAATTATTTTCTGGAACAAAATCGTGCTGCCATTCCTCCATCACTGGTCAGATTCGGTCATGTTGGCACGTTTCCAAAACTTTCTGATGGAACATCCAATCGTCTTCCTGCAGGATCAGATAGTGGACGAAAGCCTACAAAGAGTAAGTTATCATATAAATTGCGAGCAACAAATATTTTTTCCAATTCACCATAATCTTAGATCACGGAAATTTAAATTTCAAACAACTGAAGCCAAAAAAAAAAGTTAGGAGCTATCTTAGATCTTATGATACAGTTCATAGTAAAATAGAAGAAAGCATTTCGAGCTAATCAATAATCTTGTAGAAAAGTTCCTTCGACTTTTATTCCATCTCATAGCGCCTATTTATTAAATAGTATGTTTGAGAATTATTTTTACCGATTATCGAAATTTGACTTTTAAACTGAAGAAATGAGTAAAAAGCAATTCTTATTTATGTACTTTTCATTTTATCACCAAAATGAATATAGTTATCATTTATTGTGTATTATCGTACTTGATAGCTGTCGTCCAATTTTTAGTTCGTGATGAAAAAGTTGGGAACTTTCCCGTTCGCATGCTTGTTCTTCTAGTGAAACTAAGCAAACTAATAGAAGTGAAGAGAAACTTGATAAGATCATTAGTTGAGTTGAACTCCGAAGCAGAGAAGATGAATATGATAACAGATATTTATCCAGTTGCATTTCAGGTATTTTTTCAAACTCCATGTATTCTGTAATTTGATGCCTTTTCATTAATCTATAAATAAGGAATGAAATTTCATTACTTTCACTCTTTTTGATTTTTAGAAGAGGTATGCTCAGGTAGTCGTTGACATCGAGTTGGCAAATAGACAGTTACAGATATATTTAAATGCTATAGGCGAGTACTGCAATCAGTTGCTACCACAACTAAGTGAAGTTAGTCTGAAGTCATTGTATAATTTCAGATTCTTACAACCGTTTGTTAAAAAAAATTCATTCATTATTTTACTTTTCAATTTTTTATGATTTTTTAATGGCAATATTTTTCTCAATCAGTTAGAAAATAATTTCAAATTGAATACACTTATTTTGAAAACAAACCATTTATTTTCATAATTAAGCTCGCATATCAATGTATTTCTATTATTTTCCAGATGTCGTTAACATCACGACCAGAAGCATTAAAAAAGGTTTCGCAGAATCATTCGGTTCAAATCGTTAAACATTGTAACAACGCTCTTAATGTACAAAATAAGCGTGCACTTGATTTGGTTACCTCACTGACGGCATTGTTGTTACAGGCAAATTTTAATTCATTATGAGTCTTTCTTGATTACTATTTTATGATTTTATTTCAGATACATTACCGTTCCAAGTTTTAATAAATCAGATAAAATTTTTAAAAAGCAAATCAGAACAAACATTTTGTGATTAGATTCGGGCACTGGGACAGCAGAACTGTACTGCACTCGATCTACACTCACTTTCGGATTCTCTGAATGAAATTCGAAAACAGATTGACCCCACAAATGTTGCTGCCTTCCAGGATTTTGTGGAAGTTCACATGAAACAAATACACAATATGATGTTAAATGTTGGAAATATATTTTAGTGTTGCCATCTGTCCGAAAATTTTTGCGAATAATAATGGCTGTTTATCAGCGATTACAGATCAAGATGTAGATGCATTGCTCCTTGTATCATATATATAGTTTTGCAATTCTTTGTGAAAAATTTGCCAAAGTTTATAGGATGTCATATCTCATATATCCAAAAAATTTTTGATATTAGAGTTAGTCTAAAAACAATGATTGCCTTTTTTGTGTTTAATTTTTCGAAATTTTTTTTTCTCATTTGATACAACATCGAAGAAAACGGTTAGTGACGGTTTTTGTCATATAACTCTCATATCCCTTATGATTCCTTTAATGACTTATTTTTCTTAATCATAAGCAGTACTATTATAGGAAGCAATTTTAAATTAAATACACGTATGTTGGAAACAAACAATTCATTGTTTTCAAAACATGTATATGTATTAGCTGTAATTCACATGTTTCAACTCGTTATGTCTCATGACTTTTTTAAAATTCATGTTTTTGGTCGTTCACTTGCTGTGTTATGAAAAATATTGTTCAAGCCTACTGGTAGTGAGATATTTAAAAAATGAGTTGATCAAGGCTGAAATCAATAGTGCAGTTGGCTTACGTCGAATTATTGTTATATTTGCTATAAACGTTCAGTGGAACACAGTATGTGAGGATGCGCACCCAATTCTTTATTTCATTTTGCAATCAGTTTTTTCGCTAACTGCTAGCAAAAGTCATCCGGCATGAACAGACAGAGTTTGGGTCATTTCTGTGTTATTATCTATGTGGGACATTAGAATATTTCTAGTGTAAAAAATCCAAATCTCGAGACGCGAAGTTTATCTTGAGAGAACTCACTGTATATAACGCGTATCGAATGTCAAAATCACAAAAATGATCAAAGTATAGGTATATAGCATAAAATACGAACTTAGAGGAATAAATATATCCTTCGATAACATTAAAGCTCCCACGGAAAAAGAACCTTTGATGCGCAGTTAAATAAAGTCGATAATGTGGGGAGAGCAAATTCAGTTAGTTTTTCGTTATATAATAAAACTAAAATTTCTAAATTGTATGTCAAATTTGAAAATACGGACTTTCCCAAACCAGAATTTGTTTCAAATATAAGAATAATCGATGCTTAATATTGATTCCGGCAACAGCAGAAACAATTATTGGGAACTTCAAGAAGGAGGTTCTATTCTGCCACGCGCAATTTTTCAAAAATAGCTAGGCAGTTAGCATATACCCCAGAACAAATAGCAAAAATTCCTATTATTATGACGACAATGTTGCGTGATATTTTGAAATACCTCTGGCGAGCTGTGAGTGAAACCTAAATTGTATCATAAGAAAAAAAAAGATTCTTCATTTATACATTTAAATTTTTTTTCGAGAACATTTGTATTTTACATACAATAAAAAATTAAGCAACAATGTGACTTTAAGTCCTGGCAAAAGCTTTTGGAATTCGACTCTGAAAATTGCAACTTCCAAAAAAAAATACCTTCCAGTCACTCCAGAATGTGATCATCTCAAATATTGGTGGATATATAAGTGCACATATGGTACCACTAGTCACTCCAACTAAAGGTATCATGATTTCAAGATGAGGTACGCCAATAGACATCAAAACTGTAACCAATACCCAGAATATTCTGAAACTTGGTATATTTTGTTTGTTTGAAATAAATCTTGAAAACCTCAAAAAATTCTGAAACTTAACTTTTATCATAACAGATTTTCTACAACATATGCAACAGAACGGTTGCATATTTTTCACAAAGCCATGAGATTTTTTTATATCCAACCTCTTTCGGTTTCATTAAAAATGACTTTTGCAGACCAACCTGAATCCTTTATCCACAAAGACCTTCGGAACAGTGGGAAAACGATTTAAAAATTTTCGTTGAAATCCATTAAAAAACATATCTATTATGACGTACATAGCAATCGAATGACCCAACATTGATTGCAGTATCAGAAACACATTTATAGTTGAATATAATCTGTATATCCCTTAGTTAGATAATAATTTGAATGAAGTGTAAACTGAGAATGAAAAATCCTTGAGAGGTAAATGTCAAAGATCGTTTGCAGAAGTAAATTTTATATCCAAAAATGCTTAAACTCTTACTCATCAATCTCGACATCATCAGTTTTCTAATAATACCAAAATAAAATAAGTTCTTAAATGCTAAAACATACAATAAACCCCGTAACAAAAGAGATTCATATCACTACTAGTTTGCTCACTAGAAAAATTACCCCTTTTTTGGTACATTCATCGTAATTGTAGGTTTTATACTGGAGCCAAAGGCAGTGTAACCGAAAAAGCCTATTGCAGTCATGAACAAAGTACACAATGACATCGTAGTTGGCAAAACACCAAAGTTGTTCAAAAAATCTTCTGGTGTTTCCAGCTTGTTTTCCACTGGTAGAATCTTCAATTTAAAGCAAAATAGATGAAATTACAATTCAACCTAAAGACCATAAATATCTACCATTGTTTGCCCTTCGAAGGCATACATCGCCATTCCTACGAACATAATGATCCCGGTAAAGTTTGTAGTAGATGGAAGTTCATTCCAGTGATTTGGTTGTCGTACAGTAAACTGCATGATGGAAATAGCTCCCAGTAAGAAAAACACAGATGAAAACATTGCAAATACGCTAAGCACTCTCATTTCCGTAAACATATTGAGAACAAAAATAGGTACTAAAAGAAAAATAAGCATAAGTTTCCTCAGTTCATAACTCTGCAAGTTATCAAAAGATAGAGTTCACATATACATCTACACAAAGTAATGCTATACACTATATATGCTCAGATATCGTGCTGAATAATATCATGCATAGATAAAATTGAAAACATTTCCTAAACAGCACCATATTCTGAGAACTTGCCGACTACATCTGTTCCAGGGCTTGACAGTTCAGTACCTAATAGTGTGTTCTATACAATAAAATATAATGAAAGCAGCATATGTAATACACATATCTTATAAAGCAAGCACCAGAAAAAAAACTAACTAGAAGAAATTAGAGCCATTGCTACAACACCACCCACAATATAATCTCCTAATAAATGATTCATATTATCTGCTATAAATAGTATTGCAACACTGCACATACCAAGCTGATAGAAAAGTATGGTAACGTTCACTATATACCTGTAAAGATGATAAATATTTAAGCTTGCACGAAAAAGAAAAATTTACAAAATTATGAAACTACCGAAAATTGGCAAGTCAGTTTACAATTCATGTCATCAATATCTTAGAAAGCGATAAAAAACCGACTGTCATAACGAACGGGAATTTTCAGAATGATTAAACAAATAACAACAAAGCTTAAACAATTTCACGCGTTCCATTTTATTTATTTTACATACAACTTCTTTATATTACTTTTAGATTCAACAAAATATTTTAACAAATTATCAAACATAATAAAATTGCTCGACTTACATGACAACTTTGCTATTATTTCGTAGGAATCTTATACTACTAAAATCACAAACTTTCTTGGCAAAATGACCATAATCAAGTGAAACACGTTCTGACTTTTTTGCCAAATGTTGTGATGACCTAACAAGAATGTGATTTCCATACCAGTTAAAGCCAGCTATGATAAAATTCAAAGCAAACGACATCTAAATAAGCTGTAAACTGCATTTATCCACAAATTGAAAAATTAAGTTTATTTGCAAAGTCCATTCAAAAATTCTTTCGCATTATAAATTTTATTAGCATTACATTTAACTTCATAATGAATAATATAAATTAAAATTCACCCATAAACCACCAAGTTTCCAGGCATACGGTAAAGAGAAGCAGCCGGCATTAAACATACTTTTAGATAGAGTTAGTATTGCTCGATGCGGTCTGAAATGCTTCTGGTTTATGAAAAATATTCCAAAAAATATGAAGAACGTAAATCAGATTAAAAAATCAAAAGCTGAGAAATGCAAGAAAAGTACCATGACATGCAGTAGTACGAATAAAAAAATTCAATAAATAAACATGCACAAGACAGAAGAAAAACTCACGATATAACATCACCTCTACGTGTTTCACGTTGTAACAAGTTCTTCACATCGTTGGTGTTATCACAATCTTCATTCACGTTACTCATCACAGGTTTGCACTAATCCTGAATTATAAAAAACAACCCCATAGACGTTATAAATGCAACATCAAATCAAAAACAGTGCTAATGGAAATGTTATAACATCATCTCATGTGCACCAAAAAGAAAGTCACATATTGCTCTTTGGAACAATCAATCTGACTAACCATCCTCCTTCGACTGCATTTATTATTTGTTGACCTTCCGACACAATACTCGGGAAGAAAGAAAGATATATACTAGCAAATCTTCTGCACAATATGATACTTTCACAAAAAAAACCAAACTTTTTATCTTGGCAAATATTTACAGTAATAACTGAAAAACAGCTAATAATATAAACAAAACAAAGAATACCAGTTGCAAAAAACGAGATCTCAACAACAAAACATTTGATTCGAAAATATAATAATGAATTTACAACACATGTGCATCATATTTCATGACGATCTCCCGATACTTCACAAGAATGGCAACAATCACTCCAGAAAACTTAACATACTGCAATGATTGTAATTACAATGCACATTTATGTGTGTAAAAAACATTCAGCAAGAATCAAAAGATTTGCTGGTAAAATTGTGGAGTCACGGAAATATTCATAAATAGGAGGCAATGTATTGCTCAACATCTTAAATTCTTTCACGCTAGTTATCATTTAAAAACATACTGGAAAGGATTTTAAAACGAAATTACTATCAGTGAAGACAAAAAGATATGGACAAAACAAGTTCCCACATTGGAAATCTCATTTTTTCAGTGGTTTTCGTTTCCTCAGACTTCGTCTCAGTTGTGCACTTGCGCCATTTTCTTTTTGTTCTGCACAAAAATTCAATGAACATGATTGCAAATATTAAGATTAATATGCTTGTTCTGCTTCTTTTTTCAAATTATTGGACTTTAAAAAGTCAGAAGCTGCTGATAATTATCTATAACTTAGTGCTAGCAACTTCGGTTTTGCAAATTTACTCACCGGGAACTGCATCTTTTTCGGATTCTGCCTCTGTATTTACTTCCATTGTTTCGGTATTCTGTGCCTGGAAATGAGGACGAATTACGAATATTACGATATATTGCTTTTATGCACAATTTTTTGCATATGACTGTATCCTTCCAGAGTTACACAAATTAAATGTAGTATCTTGTTGCAAATTTAAGATAATATAAATCATATGGCAAATCTAATACACCTGAGCCCTTTGATTCGTTGGTATTTCATCTTTATAATTGATATTTTTGGGCTTCTTTCGAGTCACCTGTGAAACATGATCCTCTGCTATTTTGATTTCAAACCACTTTGCCCGCGCACCATTATCAGTGAATGCAATACCTGACTTTTGTCGTAAGGAAATGGCACATGAACAATATGTTTCCATGCATCCCGATGTATCCTGAAATATTCAGTAAATGAGCAGAAGAGTCAGCTCTATGATACCAAGAAATGAGCATTAATTATGAAATTCACAAATAAAAAGCATGATAGCTGAAATCTAAAAATTTTTAAATGCGGAATATTTTAAAAAATTACAACCTCATGCACATAACTCGTGTCATCAACAAGACTGGTCCTGAACAGTAATGTTTCTTCTTTATTTCCTTTAGAAATTCCCAACAATCCATAAAAATTACCGTTACCAACCCACTCAAAATGCATCAATCGGCGATTAACTTAAAGACACTTGTATATTTTCAAACCTCATAAGTGGAAATTTGCATGTATATATATATATATATATATTCATCTCGCTGTAAATTGGTCGCAAAATTTACTTGATGAATTTAGACATTCTTCGACTCTCAACAACTTCGCTGATGCTGGCGACTTAGGCTGAAAAAATGTGAATTATAGAGTACTGCTTCTAAAAATGAGATCTAATTTTTTTTTTTTTTGAGCCCATTGATATTCTGATAAAATCACCATAGCAATATCAACACCCATCACATTTTCTCCTACTTCCGACTGCCGTTCATCTGTACACAAATCAGTGTTATCGAATTCTAGACGAAAACTACTATCCACAGTTCCTTGTGATTTCTGTTTGACGCCAGCATTCTCATCAGTACTTTTCATAGACTGCTTCGTGTAATGCATTTTGTAAAAAACTACGCCTAAAGCGCCATAAATTATATGACGATTGCCATCAACACCGATACAGGACACCGCAAATGGTTCACTTGCCATTGTTTGCCGCCACTTTTGCTCTGAAAATTCAGGTACTTTAAATTAAAGCATAATGAACTATATGAATCTACTGGGATAATACAAAGCTTATGAATAACGATATTCGCAATGACGGAAAAATATCAGTTTTTCAAACTAGAACTTCAATGATTTTTTTCCAGATCATAACAATTACCGCCATTCGTACGACACTCCAATGCAGCTTGAGAAGGTGAAAAAATCGTAAACTTTTCAAAACCTTCCTCATGGTTCAACTCCAACACATCATTTGTCACCTAGAAACATTGTGGGTATTTAAGTGAAGTGTGCTAATTCATAAAACAACCTTGTAAATACAAGAAAAAAATACGATTTAGTTGGAAACAAAAAAATTATGAAGTGAAAAAAATCTAAATGATCAAGCAAAGAATATTTGCATTTTTGAATAATCAATCAGAGATTATTTGATGATCCTTCATTGTTTCAATATAAAACAACTTAAAACTACCGCTACGATTGCGAGGGTGAATCTTTTCTGAATAACATCTTGTACGGTTTGCAAAGCATCAAAACAACTTGTGATACAATCGGTTAAGGTTCTGGTAGATTCTTGTTCAGGTAATATATTCCAAAGGTTACTTCGCACATCCAAACGGCATTTGAGAGGTTTTTGGCACTTAAAATACTGAAGAACCTGCAAAATACGAGTCAAGAAATAAATTTTCTGATGATAATAGCGCTGATATTTGCAAAGACCACAACAAACTTTGTCAAACGAGTAGTTCTTCTGTGCAGAACTCATGGCTTTATTTTGACTGCTTCCATTCCCATTAATTGACATAGTTGCCTGTTTTATATACTAAAAAAATTGCATAATATATATTACCTGTCACCAATAATATTAAAGTCTGGAAAACCTTGCATTTCATGTTGATTTGGATTTAAATGTAAAAGGGACAGACAAACTTTTCCAAGATATCTAAATAATCAGTGTGATTACTTGTACATTTGAAGAAATTAAAATTTCTAATTACAGAAGACCCACGCCTACTTCAATTACTAACTGCACATCGAATTTCATATCTGTAGCAGATCGTTTATTCTTTGCAGTAAATGGAGGTGTTTGCGATAACCAACTCATGAAATTCATCAAATCTTTTCTGAAATGTGCTTTTATTTTTTTAACAATATGTTCATCTAGCTATGACTCTCTTAATTCTGAACATCAATTATTTTATATTTAATAATTATTCTACAATTGAGAATATAGTAGCTATGAATTCAAAGCATTTATAGACAAACAGGCAACAGTTCAGCATTTTAATCTTGTCTAAACATCAGTATTACTTCGTTGCTTTAAATAGTTATAGCAACCTATTCCGAACAGCAATTAAATGCATTTCATTCATTTTGTTGTTGACATCTTCCGCTAAATTATGCAAATTTTTAAGCTCTTTCAGTGATTCTTCATCACTCTCTTCTTCCACATATTTGCCGTAAGGATATACATCAACATCAAACAAGCGTTTCGGAAGAATATTTTTCCTCAATGAATAAAATGAAAATTACTAGCTTCAAAAATCATTAGATTATTAAAGTCTCAAATACTGAAAGTGAAATCTTGCAGATATATGTTCATTACGCTTGCAGAAAAATAAAAGGAATACTGATTAAAAACCGGAAAAGCAAAACCGTGAGGTGAAAAAGATGTTAACGATCAAGAAAAACATCAAATTTTCAGCATCCATTATGAAAACTTACGGTTTAGAACCCTGCAGTGTGCAGCATATTTCGGTTAATAACTGTCTCACATTATGTTGCAAAGCTTCTGCTCCCGGAAGGAGATCTTTGCCAATACTTCCAATTAAGTCACTGAGATATTCAATTTAAATATACTGCATTTTAAAATAAGAACTACGGAAAATCAGCTGAAAATTACTATTGTGTAGTTCAATTCTTTTAAATATTATTAAAAGCTTTGCAAAAGAACACGCATTAGTGACCAAAAATTTTAACAACCACTTTTATATTGTTTCAAGTATGAGAACGTAAAGTTAAGTTAACCGACCTGAAACCTTTGTCCACCCAATTTGCCATTTTTTTCCATTCTGCTGGTTTTAGAACATTTCTATAAAAATTTACCAGATCTGGGTTGGCTTGTCCCGTTAATATCATATTAATAAGACATTCACCTAGGCCATGATCTGCCGTTTTTTCCGTACCAAATGAATTAAATTTTTCAACGAAGAACTGAAAAAGAAATTTTTACACAACTAAGGACTTTGAAGGATTTAGTATGATATGATGTTTAAAAAAAAGACTGAATTGGAAGAAAAGTGATTTTTTTCTGAATTGGAAGAAAATAAAGGCATTCGAATTTGATAGAACATGCAGTCATCTACCATCTTTATTGTAAAAAACCAGTGTTTTTAAATTTAGAACGTACAGAGAAATATAGTTAAAAACACAGATAAAAATTCGAATGCAATTACGTACAAAAATATCATTAGAAAATAACTTAAAACTTAATGTCTAAGAACTGATGCAAATAACACCTGTAAATCTAAAACATAAAATTATCACCTTGGATTGATCTTCCCAATCAATGATCGCACGAGCAAAAGTCTCAGAAATGAAACACATATTGAACACTAATTTGAGCCACCTGAAATGAAATAATTGCGGAGCACACAAACAAAGATCAAATACAAGATTTTCAGATTAAAAACTAGAAGTGCAATTAAAAACATGAAAATTAAAGGCGAATTAAAATCAAAAGTTTTATGATATTTATCATAACTTTATAGCAACGTCAAAAGAAGAAAAACCTCCGAGCAATAGCCCACACTACACCGGATTTCAAATAATCAAAACTATCCAAGTCGAAACCAATCATTTGAGTATTTATACCAGGACTATTTACTGAAAAATAGTATTTGAATTTCGCATCTTTTAATATTTAGCCCGGCGATGATTTTCATTCATATGGTTTATAAGTTAGCAAATTAAAACTGAAACTAAAATAAATTAAAAGCTGAAAAAAATTAGTGATTCTTACCTTCTGCACAATATTGGCCTACACTTGAATAAACTACCATTAACTGATTTTTTACTGTGGAATAAAAAATGTCGCCAACCCTGATTGAGTACGGGTCGCAGTTAACTGAATTGTAAAAATTCCACATTATTATTTTTATTCACCAGATTGAAATGAAAAAGACAAGCTAGATACTTTGTAAAATTCAGATTTGTAAAATTTATCTTCAAGAAAGGAATTAAAAATTTGACAAGTTTTTCCATATTACAAATCTGAACGTAAGTGCAAATTTTACTTAAATGTTTACCAAAAAACTGCATTGGTGGTTTGATTGATCCAATAGGAAGAATGCCCGCTGCTAAAACACCTACTACATTTTCTTCATCAACTGTGAACATCAAAGTCCCCAGAAGACTGCCAATACTGTCATCGGAAAATGCTTTCATAGCCTTGAGTTGATTCAGTTCCTCTGATTTATCATTTAAACTTTCACTGTCCGAAAAATCATGCAGCTAAAAAATTTTTTCAAAAACAGAAGCGTTTTAGCAAATATATATA